TGGGGGAAATTAAAAATTGGGGGAAATTGGGAGGAAATTTTAAAATTTGGAGGAAATTAAAAATTGGGGAAAATTGGGAGGAAATTTTTAAATTTGGAGAAATTGGGAAAATTGGGAGGAAATTTTTTAATTGGGGAAAAATAAAAAGTGGGGGAAATTGAGGAAATTGGGAGGAAATTTTAAAATCTGGGGGAAATTAAAATTTGAGTGAAATTTAGGAAAATTGGGAGGAAATTTTAAAAGTTGGGGGAAATTAAAAATTGGGGGAAATTGGGGAAATTTTAAAATTTGGGGGAAATTAAAAAATGGTGGAAATTTGGAATAAATTTTTAAATTTGGGGGAAATTTAAAAATGGGGAAAATTGTGGGAAAATTGGGAGGAAATTTTAAAATTTGGGGAAATTAAAAATTGGGGAAATTGGGGAAATTGGGAGGAAATTTAAAAATTTGGGGGAAATTGGGAAATTTGGGAGGAAATTTTAAAATTTGGGGGAAACTAAAAATTGGGGGGAGTAAATTTTAAAATTTGGGGGAAATTAAAAATTGGAGAAATTGAAACATTTGGGGGAAATTGGAAATTTTAGGGGAAATTAAAAATTGGGGAAATTGGGACAATTGGGAGGAAATTTTTTAATGGGTGAGAAATTGAAAAATGGGGGAATTGAAAAATTTAGGGGGAAATCGGAAAATTGAGGGAAATTGGGGGAAATTGGGGAAAAGTGGCAGAATTTTAAAATTGGGAGGAAATTTAAAAATTTGGGGGAAATGTAAAATTGACGGAAATTGGGAAAATTGGGAGGAAATTTAAAAATTTGGGAGAAATTAAAAATTGGGGGAAATTGGGAAAATTGGGAGGAAATTTAAAAATTTGGGAGAAATTAAAAATTGGGGGAAATTAGGAGGAAATTTTAAAATTGGGGAAAATTTAAAATTGGGGGAAATTTGGAAAATTGGGAGGAAATTTTAAAATTTGGGGAAAATTAAAAATTGGGGAAAATTGGGACAATTGGGAGGAAATGTAAAAATGGGTGAGAAATTAAAAATTGGGGGAATTGAAAAATTTGGGGGAAATTGGAAATAAATTAAATTGGGGAAAATTAAAATTGGGAAAAAATGAAAATGGGAAAAAATTAAAATTGGGGGAAAATAAAATTGGGGAAAAATGAAATTGGGAAAGAAATAAAATTGGGGGGAAATAAAAATGGAGAAAATTGAAATTGGGAAAAAAAATAAATTGAGGAAAAAATAAAATTGGAAAAAAATAAAATTGGGGGGAAAAAATTGGGGAAAAATGAAATTGGGAAAAAATAAAATCAAGGGAAAATTAAAATTGGGAAAATAAAATTGGGGAAAATTGAAATTGGGAAAAAAAATAAATTGAGGAAAAAATAAAATTGGAAAAAAATAAAATTGGGGGGAAAAAATTGGGGAAAAATGAAATTGGGAAAAAATAAAATTGAGGGAAAATTAAAATTGGGAAAAAAATAAAATTGGGGAAAAATTAAAACTGGGGGGAAATTAAAATTGGGAAAAAATAAAATTGGGGGAAAAATAAAATTGGGGAAAAATTAAAATTGGGGGAAATTAAAATTGGGGGGAAAATTAAATTGGGGACAAATTAAATTGGGGACAAATTAAAATTGAAAAAATAAAATTGGGGAAAAATTAAAATTGGGAAAAATTAAAATTGGAAAAAAATTAAAATGGGGGAAAAATAGAATTGGAAAAATTAATATTGGGGAAAAAATAAAATTGGGAAAAAAATTAAAATTGGGGAAAAATAAAATTGAGGAAAAAATAAAATTGGGGGGAAATTAAAATTGGGGAAACAAAATAAAATTGGGCATCAAAATAAAACTGAAAAATCAAGATTGGAAAACGAAAATTTCAAATTCAGGCTTGAAAATCTGAACAAACCTTCCGATTCTTTGGGGAGAAATGGCCTCAAATCCCCCGAATCCACCCCAAAATTGTGTCCCCCCCCCCCAGGAG